CAAACTTTCGATTACAAGTCCTGCTCATTACCACCATGCCACACTGTTGCCCCAATGTATATTTAGGCTCCTATGTATATTTATCCCCTATGTATATTTAGGTTGTTTTGCATTTAAGACGTTTACATCATGTACGTAACCGCCGTTAGCAGGCTGTTAGCATGGCTCTTTAAAAGGCCCCTGTAGCGAGCTGAGGCATAAACTGGCTAAAGGGAAGGGCGGGAGCAAATGGCCGTGTAATGATGGCGAAAGAACGTGGGCACTGGTTTCTTCCCAGAGGAGGAAATGGAGCTCCGCCTTCCACCGCAAGCTCTCCGCAGCAATGGAAGGCATGTCAATAGGCCAGCCTGTTCCGCAGGTGTCTCCATGGCTTTTAAATTCCTCCCTCTTGGGCTGTTGCCAATAGCTACAATAATAAAAAAAAGTCTGCAGTGTGGTTTTAATGTAAGAGAATAGCCTGTGCTCTCATTGCTGTGTGACCCATTTTAGGACTTAATGGTGATTCTGTGCAAATTTACTTCTAAAGGGAAGAATGTTCTTCGCCGTGGGTTAATGTCGTTGTTCGATAAGCTGGAGGTCCTTTAAGTCAGAAATGGACTGTTGGGCAGAAGTATGTTTGCCAGTTCCTTGGCTGTGTCGAAGGTGTTACGACCCTGTTCCCTCACTGGTAGAACCTTGTCTCAATATAGCCTATGGAAGCTGACACCGGTGAGATGACTGTAGAAGGAAAAGGCCTACACTATGTGTTGGGTGTGTGTGTGTGTGTGTGTGGTGCAAATGCCAAAAAAAGCCGAAACGAAAAGAAAAATGGGACATACTCGAACAGGTGACTCACCAGTCTGACGGATGGCACTGCTCTCGGGAACTGGGCCAGCGCGGTCTTCTCGGCTCACAGCCTTGGTAGGCTGCACAGGCTGTGTAGTCATCTTCAGGTTTTCCTTTCAATTTTTAAATGGATTTAAAAAAAAAAGGAAATGGCGGTGGGGTGGGGAGCGGAGGGGAATGACAGCATTTTGGCAAACTCCCCAAGAGTGTTCGTATGTGGAAAGGTAGGAGTGGTACAGTTGGGCTGCCGTTTCCTACTATGAGACCACAGTAACTTCACAAGTACCGAAATGACGTGTATCTGTGTTCAAGCCCCTCTCTGAGTCGTCATTCTACCCTGAATGGACTTGTTCTGAAAGTGCTGTAATACTTACATTTACATTTATTCATTTGGCAGATGCTTTTACCCAAAGCAACTTACAAGTGAGGCAGAGCTCACATACTCAAAACGGATTGTATCCCAACATGCAATAGCCAAAAGTCTGGTCGTTTCTTCTAGCATACATATACATCTTTGACAGTACATCTTTCTCCCTCCTTGTTTTAGTGGAAGGGCCCACTTTATTCACCTGGGGGGGTGTCTGCCTCGCAGTACGGTGACGTCAGCAGCGCGTGCCAACTCAGAGAAACAAAAGATACGCCTACGCTTTTGATTTGGTTTTGTCAGAGGTGTGGGAGTAGCCCTAATCCTGACAGCGGCTATGCTGCGTGTGGGTTTGGGATGAAGGTTCCCCCTACACAGACTGATGCACAGGCTGCTTCACACAGTGTTTTGTGGCTGAAACGCATCAGGGCAGGAGTGGCAGGTGTGTACCTGTGTTGTTCTACCTGTTCAGGAGATTTCAGGAACACCTCGTACCCCAGTGTTTCATCTTTAAGCTCCTCCACTGTGCAGGTGCCTTAACGAGTCTGACGTCCCCTGTGCAGTGGATGCAAACTCTGACATGGCGTCAGACCTACATGTTCTGGAAAGTGTTTGTCTACTACAATTGACGTTATATATTACATTACATTACTTATCCAGAGCAACTTACCTAGGTTAAAAAATGTACATTTTAGCCTTTTTTACAGCTGGATATTTACCGAGGCAAACGTGGGTTTAGTACCTTGCCCAAGAGTACAGCAGCAGTGCCCCAGCGGGGAATCGAACCAGCAACCTTTCAGTTACAAGCCCTGAGCCTTACCACTATGATACATTAACGGAATCATTTATCTGCATTTCTGTAACGTGACTATATGGAATCCCTCTGTTCGTTGCTCAGGAGGGGGTTTCGGACGTGTCCTGATCTCTCCCGCAGTGTGGCCAGAGAAGAGCGGCCATGCCTCCACCCTCTGACATCGTCAAAGTGGCCATCGAGTGGCCCGGCGCCAATGCCCAGCTGATCGAGATCGACCAGGTCAGTGCCCGCGCTCTGAGGCCCTCTCTCTCCCAGGGTTCATGTTCTTAGAGTGAGGGGACATGTACAAAAGTGCACTTTTCCCCCTCACTCTGTGTCCCAAATGCCCAAGAAAATTGATGAAGAAAAAAAGCAAGAACTTGCATGCAAGCTTGTAAGTGAATGCAGCACCAAGCAAAAGGCTGAACCTCAGCTCGTCTTTTCTGCTTTTCTCGTTCACAGAAGAAGCCCCTGTCCTCGATCATCAGGGAGGTGTGCGACGGGTAAGCAACCTTCTGTCCTTTGCAGATGGACGTTTTCGGCCCGGTCCAGGCCTGGCGTTGGTGGCGGGGACCAGTCAACGTATGGCTGGGTAGTTTTGTTAGCCGCCATTGGCTGAGTTGTACGTGATGTGATATTTTTTTTTTTTTTTTTTTTTTTTTTTAGATTTGTGTTGGCTTACATAAGAGGCTCATCCAGACGGTGGGGGGGGTTTGCTGGCAGAGGCTGTGTGGCAGGCCTGCAGTAATGAGCTGGGAGCTACAGAGACGGCTAGGGCCCCCCCTTTATATTCAGAACACACTGTCAATATTTGGGTCTGCAATTACTCGGCTCTGTTTGTGTTTTTTTTATTAGTAATCACAAGCAATTGTATCTGGTGGGTTTGTCTTGGCCACTTTTCTTGGTAACAGTGGGAAATTGAGGAAAACTTTGCGTGCTGTACCAGTTCAGTCGTTCCCAGTAAGAGCGTAGCTGAAGGCTCTTTTCGCCGCATGATTTGTGCACAGTGAGGAGCGGTGCGCTTTAACAGGGCCCCTTCTTCCTCACTCCCCCTGCCTTTCTTCTAAACTAATGCACTAATAAAGGAGGGTTAATAGCTCACAGATGGGAGCCAGGCCCCTCTCTGGAAGGGATTGCTGGTTATGTAATCATCCCAATTACACAGCACTCCCTGTCTTTACCCCACCACCCCCCAACTCCACTCCCTCCATCCACCATCCTTCACTAAACATTGTGTTCCTTCTCTCCCTCCCTCCCTCTCTCCCTCTCCTCCTCCCTCCCGCTAACGCTATCTGTATCGTTTATTTCTCCCTGGCGATGCCCAGACTTTCTCAGGCTGCTTTCCCATCTCCCTCTCTTCTCCGCTTCGCTTCCGCCCACTCCTCTCCTCACACCCGACTGCGCTCTCGCACGCTGACACCTCCTTCGTTTTCCTCCAGCTTTGTATTTCCCTCCCCGTCTGTGTCCTGGAGAGTAATGTTACGGGCTAGCGTTCGGTCTAGCTCTAATGTTACTGGGTGTGGAGAGCACTGTGAATGGGGAGGTGAAGTGTAGGTGTGCGCTGACAGTGGAGGCCTCTCCACCTAGGTCTGAAGGGGTGGCGTCAGTGCAGGGCTTGCTGAACACGGCCAACGTTGCCCCTTCTCTCTGTGTTGAGTGGATGCCGTGCCTGCAGAAGCTGAGGGACAAGGTGCAATGTGGTTTGGACGTGTTTTGGATACTGTGATGCATGGTAGTATACTTGGCTTCCTGTGTCTAGCCAGGTTGCACACGTTAACCTTGTGGTAGGGCTTGAGTAGCGTTATTCTCACACTCACTGGTTGGCCTGGTCTGGCACTGTTGCTCATTGAACTTGGAATGGAAGCACTTCTGCTCTTTTGTGCTGGAAATCGCTCTGGATAAGACCGTCTGCTAAATGAATGTAATGCAATGCAGTGAAATGTACACTCTTCACAGAGGTGTTAGCACCTTCATTTTAAAAGGTTGCGGGTGTTTCTGTCCCCTGGTTTTAAGAGTGTCCCCTCCCCCCCGTCTCCGCAGCTGGTCGCTGTCTGGCTCGGAGCAGTTCGCCCTGCGCTACGCCGACGGTCCCCAGCTCTACATCACAGAGCAGGTGAGTGACGGCCCTCTGGGTGGCCCCGGCCCCCAGATCAGCTGCAGGTGGAGAGGGGAAGTTCTCCTATATGCTTCAGCCTTTTGGGGAGGGTCAGTGGGAGTCCCGTCTAAGCGTGTGGTCATTGTGTTTCCTGGCACGGTCATTGTGTGCGTATTGGTGGATTCTGTGACCTCGTAACTGATGTATGGTAGTGTATGCACTTGGCTTCCCTTGTTTTCTAGGCTGTTTAGTCAGGTTGCACAAGCTATCAGGCAAGTTAACAAGCAGCAACACAGATCAGAGTTCAGCTGATCTGACTTCTATGTTGGAATTCTACATGAGCAATTCATGTCAGAAGATGCACTGTTTCCATGTATGTATTCCATGCACTGCTTCTCTTGTCTAGTCAGATTGCACAAGTTAACTCGTGGTAGGGCTTGAATAGTATTATGGTCACTTCCCTAGAGTGTTGTTAGCCTGATCTGACACTGTTACTCATTCAACTTGAATGGATACACTTCTGTTCATTTGTGCTGGAAGTCGCTCTGGATAAGAGTGTCTTGCTCTTATCTGCTGAATGAATGTAATGTTATGTAATGTGTTGCTTTCTCTGTGCTTGTGTTTCAGACGCGTGGTGAAATCAAGAATGGGACCATTCTCCGCCTGGCCATTTCTCCAGTAAGCCACTGCCATTCAGTACTCTATTCTGAGGGGACATGTTCATTACTGCCATATGAATGGTGATACAGTGCCTTTGGGAAGCACTTAAGTTATTCTTTCACTATTATAAGAATTTAGAAAATGGCCATCGAGAACAGGAACAGGTAGAACAGGTGAGACTCATGTATGTGGGTATAGGTATAGGGCAGATAGCAACATGAGTGTCTTCTCAGTGAGCTCTACATGCAGTTCAGTGTGGGGGTGGCAGTGTAGTGTAGCAGTAAGGAGTAGGGCTTGTAACCGAAAGGTTGCTGGTTCGATTCCCTGCTGCCACCACTGCTGCTGTACCGTTGGGCAAGGTACTTAACCCAGAACTGCCTATATATAAATGTATAACATGTAAAAACTGTAACCTGTATAAGTCGCTCTGGATAAGAGCATCTGCTGGATGGCAGTAATGTAATGTAACGAGCGTGACCCTTTGACTTTTTGACCCTGTGACCCTGTGCTGCTCCCCGCAGACCCGCGCCGCCCGGCAGCTCCTGGAGAGGATCCAGTCCCACGGGATCGACGCCCGGCTGGAGGCCCTGAAGGAGCTGGCCAAGCTGTCAGCCGACCCCACCTTCGCCACCGAGTTCATTAACATGGAGGGCATCGGGACCCTGGCGCGGCTGGTGGAGAGCGGCACGCAGTGAGTCCCCCACAGTACTGAGGCACTGTTCTCACACAGTTCTCACTGTTCTTGCCCTAGGGTAAGGGCAAGGTACTTTCCAAAAGGTAAACCTTTCGGTTCTGAGCCCTGCTCCTTACCACTGTGCTACGCTGCTGACCCACTGTGACACACTACTAGAGATACACACCCCCTCAACCATCTGTACACTGTTCATGCACACACCCCCCCACACATCTGCACACTGTTCACACACACACTCACACCCTCACACTTCTGTACACTGTTCATACACACTGTCAGAGATACACACCCCCTCACACATCTGCACACTGTTCACACACACCCCCTCACACATCTGTACACTGTTCACACACACCCCCTCACACATCTGCACACTGTTCACACACACACCCCCTCACACATCTGTACACTGTTCACACACACCCCCTCACACATCTGCAAACTGTTCATGCACACACCCCCTCACACGTCTATACACTGTTCATACACAATGTCAGAGATACACACCCCCTCATACATCTGCACACTGTTCACACACACCCTCTCACACATCTGCACACTGTTCACACACACCCTCTCACACATCTGCACACTGTTCATGCACACACCCCCTCACACGTCTCCACATGGATACTCACATGTTCTCTCATAAATCAGTCAGCCCTGTCACTCTCCCGGGTCCCCAGCAGAGGCACACTCATAGCAGAAAGGCATAGAAAGCATGTGCACACCCTCGCACTGTTCCACCCAGCGAGGATGCGCCTCATCACGGCTCTGTTTGGACCCGCAGCTTCGGGGAGATGCTGGCGTTCACTCTCACCGCTTTCCTGGAGCTCATGGACCACGGCATCGTGTCCTGGGACCTCATCTCGCTCTCCTTCATCAAGCAGGTGAGAGACCTCCATAAAGAGCCCATTTTTCTCCCTCACATCCAATCACCCCGAGCTCGACGTGTCAGTCCAGAGCTCCAGGGAGTAATTACAGTTGTCCAGCGTTGTTTGAGGCTGGTCATTATTGACTCTTGGTCTTGAAGCCATCGTACCTGAAATCCATTTCTTCTCCAGTGCAAAGAATAAATGAATATCGGAACATGTCTGGAGCAATAGACATGTTCATTATTGTTCCAGTCAGAAATGGATTGCCTTACCGCAGACAAATGTCAAATGAAAAACCACCTAGCATTTTTTATGGTTCTGTTGTGTGTGTGGATAGGACTGCATTCACTCTGTAGATACACTGTAAGAAAAAAATGGTACCAGATGAAAAGGGGGCTGTAACAACATCACAGTACAGAGTTTTGCATAGTGGTGCATGTGTTTGACACATTTCACACATACTGCCTGAGGAGAGAGAAGTGCCGCCTAATAACAGCCCTTTTACATATCACACTTCTTGCCTTCGGTTTGCATGAAAATGGGTGGAATGGGCTCTGCATAGTAGAAAGGTACACATATTGCATTACACTATATTCATTTAGCAGACGCACTTATCCAGAGCAACTTCCAGCACAAAAGAACCGAGTATCAATTCAAGGTGTACAAGCAACATTGTCAGACCAGGCTAACAACACTCCCAGACCAGTGAGTGTGAGCACAACACTATTCAAGCCCTACCACAAGTTAACTTGTGCAACCTGACTCGGCAAGGGAAGCAGTATGTGGAATACATAGATGGAAATGGTCATGACATGAATTGCTCGTGTAGAATTCCTACACAGGAATCGGATCGGCTGAACCCTGATCTGTGTGGCCGCCTGTTAGCTGCAGTTTTGTGGGAAAGCTGCACTCCCGGTGTCAGGGGATTGCCGAGCCAGTCGCTGTGTGAATCAGCCCATGGTGGACGTGTGCATCCAGCAATGTTCTCTGGCCGTCCTAATGACACAAGCCTCTATCTCAAGTCATTAGAATTCCTCCATGGGAGCAGCGCTCAGAGCTGAACTCTGGTCTCTGTGGCTGCTTGTCCCCCCCCTAGTTTTGTGGGAAAGCTACGCTCCCTCCCACTGACAGGGGATTACCAAGCCAGCCACTGCACGGCCTCTGACCTCCCGTCGCCTTGGCGGAACTGTCACAGAGCGCAAGCTGCCGTTGCATAGCAACCCCGGCGCTGGCCTCAGGCCCTTGGATTCTGGCTCCCGCCGGCGCTTTCTGCTCTCGCCTGCGCGCCATGGGCCCAACTCGAGTATCGGAGGAAAACCTGACGGTGCCACATTCCACTCTGACAGTCACTGTGACTCCTCCCCCCCCCCGCCGCCACCAGCCTTTGAGTATGTGGCATAAAAGCGGACCATTAATCTTCCATTAGGGTATTACGCAGAGGAACCTTTTGCATTTTACATTCCATAAATGATCAGTCGGGATCAATAAGATTATTACACATTCATTCTGTTTTTGTGCATTTCATAGTGGTAGACTGTGCAGATTAAAGCACCTTTGCTGTATAAATGATCAGTCCCTGTTCTTCATTTTTGAAGTAATACATTGTTTAAAATGTTAACAGATTTTTCTCAGCTTTACACAGTTTAAGGATACAACAGATTTGATACAGTTGATACAGTACAAGATCTGCCTTGATTTAGGGTAGGTGAAAAGGCATTGATGGCTGTGGTAGTGAGCTTGTATTGGGTATGAGTGAATGACGGCCCTGCTGTTATGGGAGCAGTGTGGCTGTCTTTGCACCTCTGTGTGTGGATTTCTGAAATGGGAGTGTCCCCCCCAACCCCACCTCTGAAAGTGTCTTTCTGCAACAGAGCAGCTGATGTTTACATTACATTACATTATTGTCATTTAGCAGACGCTCTTTTCCTGAGCAACTTACAAACTTATGTTGCAGTTTTTACATGCCATCCATTTATACAGCTGGATATTTACTGAGGCAATTCTGGATTGAGTACGTTGCCCAAGTGGGGACAAGCAGCAGTTCCCCAGTGGGGAATTGAACCAGTGATGTTTAGGTTAGGAGGCCTGCTCCTTACCACTGTGCTACTCTGCCGCCCTAAGCAGCAGCAGCAGCTCCTCTCAGGTCCTGGGTTCTGTGGTGGAGATGCATGTTCAGCTGACAGTTTGTTGACACTAGATGAGAACCTGCCATAGTACGCCCACATGCAGAATAGCAATGACTAAACAGAACCCTCCCCTCAAGCATTCTTCCTACACAGGTGGAGTGACGGAGCACATTTGAAATGGAGTTTTTATTTTTTTTACTCTCTTAATTTGCAGTGTGGATGTGCGGGGATGGATTACAGGATCTTTTTTTTTTTTTACCTCACCCTACAATACATGCCCACAATACAATATTGTGTCCCTACAATAGAATCTATGAGTATCCTGTGTTGTGCTCACACTCGCTGGGCTGTGAGTATCCTTAGCCTGGTCTGACACTATTGCTCATTCAACTTGAATGGATGCACTTCTGTTCTCTTCTGCTCAAAGTCGCTATGGATGAGAGCTTCTGCTAAATGAATGTGATGTTACGTTGTTCCATTGCATTATTGTCATTTAGCAGATCCTCTTGTCCGGAGCCACTTACTTAGGTCACAGTTTTTACGTTATCCATTTATGCAGCTGGATACTGAGGCAATTGTGGGTTAAGTACCATGCCCAAGGGTACAGCAGCAGTGCCCCAGCGGGGAATCGAGCCAGAAACCTTTTGGTTACAAGCACTGCTCTTAACCACTATGCTACACTTCCACCATTACATTACCGCTATATAATGTATTCTCAAACTTAAATTTTGTGCTTGTGGGGAAAAAAACAAGAGTGTCTTTGAAGCGCGTGGCTGATGTGTGACCCGGCCCCCCCCGTCTCCCTCAGATCGCGGGCTACGTCAACCAGCCCATGGTGGACGTGTCCATCCTGCAGCGCTCGCTGGCCATCCTGGAGAGCATGGTGCTCAACAGCCACAGCCTCTACCACCGGGTGGCGCAGGAGATCACCGTGGGACAGCTCATCGCACACCTGCAAGTGTGAGCACACACCCACGCACCAGCACGCCCGCGCCCGCCCGCCCGCTCGCACGCTCGCACCAGCGTGTCAGCCAGCGGCACAGCTAGTCCCGCTTCGGGCAGCGTAGATGTGTGCGCCGCAGTTCGCTTAGGCGTAGAAGTGAAGGCGTACGTGCGATAGCTTTATGGGGTGACTGGGTGTGGGGCGGAAGTGCCACTCGCGTTGGATGAGTTTCCCTGGGTTCCCCGGATTATTTCGTGGCTGTTTTACCCACCCTGGTTAGTGTTGTGCTGAGAATTTCCCAGTCAGGACATCACCCTGGAGAAGTTCTGTGGCTGTTTTTTTTCCTGGGTTTTTTTATTGCATCTTGGGAAATCTGCTAGGGTTTTTGGGTTGGTTTCCTGTAATTTGTGATGGTTCACTGCAAAAGCCTCTGTTGTGAAGCTGTTTACTTGGAAAACATCAACGGTTGTAAGGAGTTGTGAATAAGCTAAGATCCCTTCTGATAAACAGACATACGATACAACTGCACACTACACCTCACTGCTACCTGGGTTACAGGTGTGTGTGCCTCTGAAGGCATGCAGACGTGTTGTTCTAAAAAGCCCAAAACAAGAGGGCGTAGTTAACTTGCTTCTCAAAATATGCTCGCTTAAAACTCTGGGGTTTCTCTCATCATGAAAGGAGTAGTTTGAAACTCGATCTCTTGGCCAAACGAAAGCTTGTATGGGTAAACGTTCATCCAGATGTGTGAGGTCCGCCAGGGTTGACTGAAATACTCTGGGGGGGCCTGTAGTGAACTCATCCTTAGTGAATGGCACTGAAGCAAAGCTCAGTAAGTAAGCACAGCATTCATCCCTAACACAGGGGTGAGGGGTCAGTGTGTTAGTGTAACAAACAGATCCTTTAGACTTGACCCTAAGTAATGCAAATAAGCTATTACCTGTCATTTCATGACAGAGTATGTATTAAAAGCCAGCTTGGCTTTAATAAATGTAGAATGTACACTTGTTATCCATAGCTAAATTATAAGAGAGAGCTCTCAGAGACAGACTAACAACCAAAATGGCAGGGAAAGAATGAGAATAGCGAGAGCTAGATACTTCTGACAGTTTCTGTTGTCCTGTTGTGCCATTCAGATCCAATCAGGAGATCCAGACTTACGCCATCGCCCTCATCAATGCCCTGTTCCTCAAAGCACCTGAGGATCGGAGGCAGGTTAGTGCCTGTGCCACACCCCCTTCCAGCCCCCCACCCCGACACACACACACACACACACACACACACACACACACACACACACACACACACACGCATGTACACACACCTCGCTGTCTAACCACTCTAGTTCCTGCTGTGATCCTCCCTGTGAATGCGCTGGGTGCTTCAGCATGCCTTTGCCTGACTCGTGAGCAGGGACTCCCTCTGGACAAGACAGTTCTCCTCCTCCTGCAGCGGTTTGGTCAGGTCTCCTCCTCCTCCTCCTCCTCCCTCCTCCTCCTCCCTCTCTCTCCTCTCCGTGTCGGATTCTCCAGGCAGCCAATTACACGAGTGTCCAAACAATATAGAAAGGGAAACATGGAATTAGAGGCCCGGCCGGAGCCCTCCTGGCAGACTGCTCACTAAAGCTGCGGATTGCTGTTTTGTGTGTGCGGTGGCGGCAGTGCCGGCACCTCCCCTGTGCTACTCGCGCTGTATATTTTGCATTTCATTACTCACCCACAGTCGCTGGTTCCTCTCCAATTCACCGTCTATGAAAAGCATAATGGATCCAGCAGGGAAAGGCTACTTCTCGGAACAGCGAACAGTCAGTCGGTGTGGGTCTCGGTTCAGCCGTCTAGCAGTCCGATTCCCCACTGTGGACGCTCCTCCTGTGGATCGTACACCTTAATTGCCTGCTCGCTAACTGCTAGGCGCCGCAGTTTGTTGTTTAATTATTAAACTAATGTGAGCAGGATTCAAATCTAGCAGCGGAATCTCAAGAGGGGTTTTGTTGCCTAATCCATTACAGAGGTACGAATTAATATTGAATAACTGTTAAAAACAAATCAAGATTGAATCAGTTCAGATCAGAAAATACCTTAACATCCAGACATTATTTGACTCCTGACAATTGACTGACAGCAAAATGAACCAGATCAGTATGTTGTCAAATTCCTGTTTCAAGCCGAAATGTCAAACATTTGTCAGGTGAACATGTGTCAGAGGAATTCCCTCATTTGTATCATGGTTACTAGGCATCATTTTATCAGATGGTGATAAACTATTAGTTTTTCTCAAATATGATGACAAAATTTAGAGAACACAGCATTACTACCTGCAGTCTTGATCAGTAGCACGATAAGTATGTGGAGAAGGTACAAAAATTCCTGACTTAGCCTGGACATCATTAACAAGTTTCAAAATGTGTATAACACTAATGCCTACTGATGGCAACTGTAGGCAAACGCACACAGTCACACATCATTAATCAGGTGGGACTGCGGTCAACAGTAATTGCGGCTGTCCGTGTCTCATGACCTCTGCAAGCCACCTCACAGCTGCTGCTTCACCTGGCGCTCGGGGAGCCCTGGGTTTCACACGGGGTCCATCCGCCTCCTGGCTGCTGAGTGCTGTCACTTTGCCCCCGTTCTGTTGCATGTCATCCGGCCGTTGTCATGCCTGTGTGTAAGTGTGCACTCTCTGTTTCCATTGCTGTCACGTGCCCGCATCCCCGCTCCCCAACACACCCCCCCTCAGGAGGAACATACTAACCCTCTGGACCTGCGGCTCACTGTGAGTACACACTGTCAGACCCCCACCCCCACCCCATTCTGCACCGCTCTCTCTCACAGAGTGGCATTGCGACGTCTGTGCTTGTGTAGTCGTCTGCCGTCACTGCCCTCTTGTGGTAGGAGTGGTGCATTGCTGGTCCGGTGCACCGCAGGGCTTGTTGGGGCTGTGGTTTTTTTTTTTTTTTTTTGCTACAGATGAGGTGAGTGAGGCTAAGATTTTTTTTGACCACAGTTCACTAAGTCCTTCGTTTGTGAGTAAGGAATTTGAGTGGTCTTTTTCAGTTCTCACGCTACATTTTGAAGCCTTCAGTTGCTGAAATGAATAAACAAATGTGAAGAAATGAAATTAAAACTTTCTAAAATGTGTCACTGAAAGTTAGGGACAAAGTGAATTGTGGTTGGAATAAATCTGGGCCTTAGTGTCCTGCGAGTAAGATATTGGACCATATTTTACCTTAAATCCAGAACAGGACCCACCACGAGCTCCTTCACTGTTGTGTGGTCTGTATTGGTTTTGGTCTTGGTTTTCCTGACATTCCCTCTACACGGGTCAACCGTGCCTGTATCCTTTTGAAGTTCCCAGCTCTTTTTTTATTTTTACTGTACATGTAGCTGGACTGAATAAGAGCCTTCCCTCGTTTGTCTTTCAGCAGTCTTTGCCATGATCACTGTGTGTGTGTTTGTCTCCTCTTTACAGGAGATGGCGAGCACCCTGGCACAGAAACACCTGAGATCCATTATCCTCAATGTGAGCGCCTGCTGGCCTGTCTGCACCTGGTTTAATCAGCCTGTGGATAAAATATGCAAAGTCCTGAGCACTTCATTATTTTGGACATTGCACCTGTGCGACTTAGCAAGGGGGGACATTACATTACAAATGATGTTAAAGGGGTGTGTGTATTAAGACAGCTAAAGTAACCATCTGCTTTTTATGAAACTCATACTCTCAGTAATAAAAATTTAGATTTATTTTGTGTTCAAATCTTAATGTGATTCATACTGTCATTGTTGCCAAATTTACATTTAACAAATTCTTTTGGGATGAAAGGTTCACATAAACTGCTGGAGGTGTTATATTGCTTATTTGATTTATGTGTGTGCGTGTGCATATTTATGTTTAAATCCAGCTGTACATCAGACATTGCAAAATGGCAATATCCCAAAAAGTACAGCACAAAGCAAAATGTTAACAGTGCTCCTGTGTTACTTTCTAAAGTAGTTTCATGTTAAAATTTAATGGTTTTTGGATGAAGACAATGCATTCTGAATAAGTCAAAATATGAATTTCACAACCTTCGATTTTGACCTGTAGAGTAACAGCAGTAGCTTTGCCCCATTCACGTGAGTTAACATCAAACCTGTCCTTCGGTCCCTCAGCACATTATTCGCGGCAACCGGCCAATCAAAGCTGAGATGGCGCACCAGCTCTACGTGCTCCAGGTGTTGACCTTTAACCTCCTGGAGGAGCGCATGATGACCAAGATGGATCCCAGTGATCAGGTGCGTGCGTTTCCTCTCTGGTAGCCGGGTGGGCGTGTTGGTAGAGCATAGGTGTCATGGCTCCCGTCCTCTGTCTCTCCCAGGCTCAGAGGGACATCATCTTCGAGCTGCGCAGGATCGCCTTCGATGGGGAGAACGACCCGGTCGGCACAGAGAAGCGCAAGGCCATGTACACCAAGGACTACAAGATGCTGGGCTTCACTGTAAGTGAACTGTCACTGCATCAGCACAGTGAAAACTAGGAGCCCATTATCTGTAGGATTGCAACCTCAGGTGCTTTGTGCATCACAGATACACATTGCTCTGTAAACATGGTATTGTAATGAATGTAGTTTGGCAGTGTGGTGTAGTGGTAATGAGTTGTGCTCATAATCAAAAGGTTGCCGGTTCAATTCCCCGCTGGGGCACTGCCGTTGTACCCTTGGGCAAGGCACTTAACCCAAAATCGCTGCAGTAAATGTCCAGCTGTATAAATGGATAATATGTAAAATTGTCACCTAAGTCACTCTGGATAAGAGCATCTGCTAAATAACAGTAATGAATGGAATGGAAGCCTTGAATCCCTAAGAAATAGGCAGTGTAATATCACATTTGACATGTTTGCTTCCTATGTTTGTGTCGCTTTAAGAGGAGATTCCATTGCAGCTCAGCTGAGCCAGCCGGTTGAATGGGAGTGTGATGGTTCTTTTGTCTCTACAGAACCATGTGAACCCTGCCATGGACTTCACACAGACACCCCCCGGCATGCTGGCCCTGGACAACATGCTGTACCTGGCCAAGCTGCACCAGGACACCTACACCAGGGTGAGAGTGGAGATCATGTCCTGTGTCCAGGGAGAAAATGCAGCTTTGCTTCATTAGACGTTGGTTCTGTAGATTAGTTTAGGAAGCCTGGTGGAAACATGGATCGTACTGCAAGTTTACTGCATTTGGATCGGGTGGTGCATTTGAGGAGTTTTAAAGGGATGTGTTCTGTTCTCTTTCAGATCGTCCTTGAGAACAGCAGTCGTGAGGACAAACACGAGTGTCCTTTCGGGCGCTGCGCTATCGAGCTCACCCGCATGCTGTGCGAGATCCTGCAAGTGGGAGAACTGCGTGAGTGCGCCCCCTGCAGCCCAGAGAGGGCAGTACCCCTGGTCCAGCTGTGGCACTGCGTGCTGGATATACACCCTCTGTTTGTGCTCTGGACTATAATGAATGTAACACGATCTTAGCAGCTGCGCTAGCTTTATGAGACGTTGAGTGTTAATGGCTGTGTTCATCCCCCGTCTAGCCAATGAAGGCTGCAATGACTACCACCCCATGTTCTTCACGCACGACCGCGCCTGGGAGGAATTCTTCTGCGTCTGCATTCAGCTGCTCAACAAGACCTGGAAGGAGATGAGGGCCACGGCCGAGGACTTCAACAAGGTCAGCGCGGGTTTCCCCTGCAGCGGGAGGCAAACGTCATGGTCTCATTACATTCGTTGCATTCATTTTACGTCACATACAGTCTCCTCAGCGAATGAGGGCTGGATTGGGGAATAAAAGGGCACGCTCTGTGCCGCCCTGTGTTATGGTCCGTCTGAACGCACGGTGCTCTGTGGCTGTCGGTGTGAGGTGTGTGACCCCCCATCCCGTCTCTCCGCCGGCAGGTGATGCAGGTGGTCGGGGCAGATCACCCGGGCCCTGGCCATGAAGCCGTCCTCGCTGGACCAGCTGAAGAGCAAGCTGCGCGGGCTGAGCTACGCCGAGATCCTGCGGCTGCGCCAGTCAGAGAGGATGAGCCAGGACGACTTCCAGTCCCCGCCCATCATGTGAGTCCCGCGCGGGTCGCCTGTCAGTGAGACACTGGGTATTGGAAGTGTACGGGGAGTGTGGAGGTTTGCTTAAAGTCCTTGTGTGTCTCTTGTTAAGGTACTGGGTATGGAAGCATATGCGTGCTTAATGTCCTCATGTGTCTGTCAGTGAGGTACTAGCTGTAGAAGTATAGGTGTGCTTAATGTCCTTGTTTGTCTGTTAGTGAGATACTGGATATGGAAGTGTATGTATGCTTAACATGCTTATGTGTCAGTTAGATGCTGGGTATGGAAGTATATGTGTGCTTAATGTCCTTGTGGTCTGTCAGTGAGATACTGGGTATGGAAGGATATGTGTGCTTAATGTCCTTGTTGGTCTGTCAGTGAGATACTGGGTATGGAAGTATATGTGTGCTCAATGTCCTTGTGTGTCTGTCAGTGAGATACTGGGTATGGAAGGATATGTTTACTTAAGATCCTCATATGCATGTCAGTTAAATATTGGTAGCATCTCAGTGAGATGCTGAGTATGAAGGTATATTGGAAGTATGGAAGTTCGTTTAACATCCTTTTATGTCTGTCAGTGAGATACTGAGTGTTGGAAGTATATGGATGCTTATTATCCTGGTTTGTCTGTCAGTGAGCTCCGTGAGAGGATCCAGCCTGAGATCCTGGAGCTGATCAAGCAGCAGCGCCTCAACAGGCTGTGCGAGGGAAGCTGCTTCCGCAAGATGGGGAACCGCCGCAGGCAAGGTGAGGCGCCCCGACACGGCGCGATCGCAGGGAGGAAACGCTGCTTTCAGAGCCTGCGCGTGGTACAGGCGTTCACTGAACAATTCGGAGTTTAGCAGTGTAGCATAGCAGTAAGGAGCAGGACTCGAAACCGAAAGGTTGCCAGTTTGATTCCCCGCTGGGGCACTGCCACTGGCCCCTTGGGCAAGGTATTTAGCCCACAACTGCCTCAATGTAAATATCCAGCTGTATAAATAGATAATGTAAAAATTGTAACCTTTGTAAATTGGTCTAGATAAGAGCGTATACTAAATGACATTATTGTAATGAATGTCAAACGTCTTGATTTTACAAAACCTTAATTCTTCTGTGAAAAGGTGTGATTACTTTTCACTGTACGTTTTGCTGATAACCGGGCTCATTAAATTCCCAAACGACATCATAACCTTGTACGTCCACCTCTTTCTGCCTCAGATAAATTCTGGTTCTGCCGCCTGTCACTCAACCACAAGGTGCTGCACTATGGGGACCTGGATGAGCCTCCACAGGGGGAAGTGCCCTTTGAGCTGCTCACCGACAAGAGTGAGTCACCTGACCTTGGAGGGGTGGGGTCACAAGCATGCACTGCAAATAAGCAGGGGTTTGTGTGGCAGAAGTGTTATGGCTTGAAAACAAATTCTGTAGAGGAATCGGTCTTAGTAACCTGTGTCTCCTGTACCTCTGTAGTCCCAGTGTCTGACATCAAGTCTGTGGTGACGGGGAAGGAGTGCCCCCACATGAAGGAAAAAAGCGCACTGAAACAGAACAAGGTAACATCCAGCAAAGTGTTGTCTGTTCAGAGCAGATCTAGGCTGAGACTGACAAAACGACTAGCCTATTTTGCATTCCAAACAATTTCAGTTTTGTAAACTGTTATGTAATGGCTTTTATGAGTGTGTACTTGTGTTGAATGTGTTTCATGTTGATGGTGTGTAATATATGTTCCCTGTTCGCAGGAGGTCCTTGAGCTGGCCTTTTCCATTCTGTACGACCCTGATGAGGCTCTCAACTTTGTTGCCCCTAACAAGTATGAGGTGAGAAACGGCACAGAATGCCAGAGTACCTTATGTAATATTTTAATACTTATCCATAGTGATAGACAGGCATTTCTGCATTGTGTATGGCTGCAGATATTAAGTGTTAGGTAGTTATATTTACATGGGGCGGTAGTATAGCAGGTGGCAAGGAGTTGGGCTCATAAAAAAAAGGGTGCTAGTTTGATTTCCAGTGGGGGCGCTGCTGCTGTACCCTTGGGCAAGGTACTTAACCTCAGTAAATATCCAGCTGTATAACATCTATGGATAACATGTAACAATTATAACCTATATAAGTCACTCTGGATAAGAGCGTCTGCTGAATGACAGTAATGTAATGTAATGTTTACCCATGTTTCCAAGTCAGTAAAGCTGAAAATAGGGCATATCAGTGTGTATTATTTTATTGGAGATTGCTAATTTTTTTCCCCCCGTGTGGTGTGTGTGTGTGTCGGCCAGTACTGTATCTGGACAGATGGGTTGTGTGCACTGCTGGGGAGGGAGATGGGCAGTGACCTCACGCGCAGTGACCTTGACACCCTCATCAGCATGGAGATGAAGCTCCGCCTCCTGGACCTGGAGAACATCACCATACCGGAAGCCCCACCCCCTGTTCCCAAGGAGCCCAGCACATACAACTTCACCTACAACTATGGCTGAAGAGGGTGTCGGGGGTTGTGGTGCGGGTGGGTGGGGGTAGCTGTGAAGGATTGGAGGTTCGAGTGGGGAGGGTGTTGTGTAGCCATGGGCTGGGGGGAGGAGTGAAACAGAAACAAAGGGAACAGGACAGGGGTTGGGGAGACTGACTCAGCCCCTACACAAATCTCCTCTTCCCATAAAAAGTGAGTAGTGAAAATGCCCACTGGTGGTTTGAGGGCAGGGTACGTAAACATAGGAATAACACTAATTAAAGAGTATTGCCAAAATGCAAAACTGTCTTGATAATATGCACATCTCAAAATACATCCTTGTATTTCCTTTTTTTACATGGTTTTAAGATTTGTGTAGGCCATCTCTATAGACCCTTTCAACTGTTGAATCAAAACATGTCTAGTGTTGATTTTAAGTAAGATTATAACAAGGCTCTATCAGAGCTTTCAGTGTTCTAGCAAAGCTGTTGCCTCAATAGCGCCACCTATTTGTGTGGAGCAGTACTGTAGGGGCTGGGTCTTTCCTAGGATGGCTTCAGTCAATCTTTTCCTCTTGCATCTTTCAGTACTAATATTCATTGATGTTTGTTATTCAGAATAGATTCTATTTTTGTAATTGATTATGTGAAATCTATGCGAGCTCTGAGAAAGGATACCAAGCAGACAGATTTCCAGTAACTACCTGATATCTGTCCAAAATGAATTGGTGTGGACTGATGAGAACAGGAACAGGGACACCATCTTTTCCTCTTCTTTTGAGCTCTTGGACTTGGCAGTCAGTCAGTAACATGCTTAATCATTTGTTTTTTAGTCCTGTGTAATCGCTTCAAAGGCAAACAACTGGTTAGCTGTCCTCTTTCAATTTGAGAGGGGTTACCTGCAGTGTAGCCTTTCCTGGTGATGGCATACTGAGACATTATATGAAAGGAACTTGTACTATGTTGACATTTTGCACCTCCACAAAATGTAATCAATCTGAGGCCGTCAACCAAGGGTATACAGTATATCCTGTAGAAGCTTTCCATATTGCAGTTAAGATGCCACAGGCGCCGTGGTAATTAACATCCCAGCATAGGCCCCATTCAGCAGCTGAGCAGGTTTGCCTACTGAGGTATAAATACAAGTGAAAGATGTGGAATGTGGGAGTATGCCCTGATGACATTTTTACTTTGCCCACAAG